AGTAGTAAGGATGATTTGGGTTCTGGGAAAGTCTGCCATAATATCAAGGTCTGTTACATATGTGGAGAGTAAGGTGGTACTCCTACTATGTTGTATATCTGAATTATGCTCATGTGTTCTGACTTGCATTGAATGTTTAGTAGACCTAATGTACACCATTTCTCTATCCCATCTGTTGTCTCTGACAGGAATACTATAAATGCCTGGTAGTCATTCTGGGTTAAGGGGGTGTTTTCTGTTACGTAGTAGGCTGAATATAAATTAAGAAAATCTGAAAAAGAACCCAGAAGGGATTAAGAAAACGTTTGTTATTTATTGCTTATCCTTCACACTAGTTATTGTTGTAGTTATCCCAGTGTGGTATGCAGATTTGTATCTTGAAATATACATTTAATCTGTGTGTTTAGGTATTAAATATCATAACTGGAATTTCGTTAATTTAAAAACACTTGTTAAGAGCTCCATAGGCCAAAGACTGCAGGTTTTTTTTTTCTTTTTAGACAAATAACTAACAAGTCAGCTTACAGTCTGACTAATACCTTTAATGAAAATGCAATGGTTATTGACAATTGACAAAAAAATACATATGAAGTCAACTCTGACAAATTACAACTCTCCATTACAAAAGTTCCTTCCTCTCCCTTCTATTGATTTGTTTGTAGTGCTATGCACTCGTTTTGTATTATTTTTTATTTTTGATATACTTTTATTATATATGTCGAGTTTTCCTTTTTTCTATTTTTGTGACACGTCAATGCTAATTTTTCTTTGTGTCATGCGCCACCTTATGGTGGTGGTTGGTGGACTGCTGATTGGATGTGACAGTGACCACGTGATAGGAAGCAGGAGGATTAAAGATGTGGTGGTATAAAAAGGGTGACCCGACAACATCAAGGACCTTTTTTTCTTTCCAGGCTCCCCTGAACTGGTTTGTGCAAGAGGACAAGGGTAAAGAAGGTAAGCGGTCACTACATGCGAACGAGAGACAAGGAGAAAATTCGTATGGGAAGGAAGAAAAATCGAGTTGCATCAGAGTATGGACGACACATAGAATGATATTTCCAACAGTAGTTAAAAGAACTTTGCTTGTTAATGGCAAGTGCTATGTTATTTCGAGATTAATGACTTTTTTTTTATTCACACGTGATCATCAACTCCACATTGTTATCTAGTGCCATGGAACCATCCCTATGTAGAGTATGGCCCAGGCAGACCGACGATTTGGATTCTTCTTGTAATAGATTGTAATTCTCTTATTATCGGTATTTGTGTATAGCGAGTGAGTCAATTGAAAAAATCGGATAGTAGTTACCTTTGTAAAATTGGTTGTCATCGAGCTGCTAATGTTATCCATTACCACCTGTACACGCACATATATTGAAGTTATAAATTGTTTTTTTTTTTTTGTTCTAAGGTGTGTTGTGTTGTGAGGTCCTCATTTATCTCTTACCCCTTTTTTTGATCTGGATCGCTTTGGTGTTCTCCTAGATCTACATGTTCATGGGCTATATGTGGTAATTACCCAACAATGCATAACAAGACAACATTAAGAAACTACAACGAATACATGGGGGAACAAACATGAACTGAGATTACTCACAACATCTTCATAAACCTGGTAAGAAACAATTAATTAATCAGGCCACATGAACACTAATACACCTGTGTGATACTTCTGTTGGTTCCGTCTCTCTTCGATTATAGTCCTTCTCAAAATTACATTTACATCACTTAAATGGAAACAGATTGCCTCTTAAGAAAATAGTCTTATAATTCTCGTCCTTGCTTGTTGTCTTTGAAGATGTATCTTGTTGTCACTTATTGGGCAAGTGTCCTCCACAATCTCCACAGAAGAAGAAATAGAATACCTTTCACACAAAGTCTCTCTATTTATATCTCCCACTACCGGAAGTTCAGCTCTTTCACGTGATGTGTCTATGAGCCAATCCTGTGGCTTCTTCAACACAACCCAGGAAAGGGTAGCACGGAACAAAAACGAAAAGCACAGAAATAAAATAAAAACAAAAACCCAGTATAGAAATAAAGGCACACTGGATATATAATGTATATGTTATGTATAAAGTGATTAATCAGGCATTATTCATATAGATCGGGCATTATGAATAATGACCAAATAGGGCGCACAATGTGATAAATATTGATTAATTTATCAAACTGACCAGTCATTATGAATACTGCTATCACCTAGTCAGGCAAAGTAATAATAAGTTGAGGATTGATCATCCGACTTACGCTAGCCAATCAGCACTCTGAGTTGCGTGTGCATATCGTGTTTAGTACAGAATTTTAAATTTGATTTAAAAAACTCCACTTATTTCATTTAGAAATATTTATTTTTTGTAAATTATATCAAAGTACTATTAACTATATTAATTAAACTAATATTAACAAAAAATATTATTAACAATTTTTGGTATAAATTATATAAAAAATTAAATGTTTTTTAGTTTATTTATTTGAGCAATTAAGATTTTAATGACATTTGAAATTACATAATTTTTTTCTTCATAGCATTTGCATTTATTAGATTTTCAACCAATTTTGCAGCAGCATCGACTATAGCCTTGTTCTCCAGAAATTGATGACATTCTTGCACATTCTCTAAGCAAAATTTCTGCACCCGGTACATCTAAACCAGAAATAAAGTTTTCTTTACAAACAGTAAATTGGTTTCTGGAATATAATAGATTTAATATGCCATATTTGGTACCCAGTTTGTAAAGGTTTTTATCTTTAACCGCAACAATGACCCCTAAAATATTTTTTCCATCACTGTGGGCTCAACCTACATCAACTACACGAATCCTTACTGTATCACCAACATTAGCTGCTGTGTATTTAGAATTTGATGTATTAATCATTTTTTCTGCTTGCTTTTTAAGATTAAACAAAGCCATCTCCCTTGTTTTAGACATATTTCTTATTTTTTCTTCTATTTTTGGATCAATTGTTTGGATTGTTCCTTCTTCATTCACCAATTCTGTAATACTAATAACATCCTGGTTTAGATTTTTTCATGTGAAGACGATGTAGATTTTTTAACTTCAGTTATATAGCTATGTAAGGGTGGCATTATCAAATAATCTTTCATAATGTTTTCTTGGATGGTACCTGGACTTTCAGAGTTTGAGCAACTTTGACTTACTTCATCGACAGTTTTAAAAAGTCTTTTAAATAGTTTTAAAAATTATGATCATCTCCCTTGTAATGTTTTTATATTTCATACTTAATTCTTTTTCCATATGGTTTCTACCACCATGTCCAATAGCAATATTGGTATCGTGCAATATCTGAAATATTTCTTCCATGTGAACATAATATTTAATCACATTACCTTCTTTTATGGGCATAATTAATTTTTCTAAATTTCCGATAGATACATCATCATATCTACGTAAACGCTGATATTCTTTCAGTAACTTAGAAGTTTCTATGTTTTCTATTCGCTTGTCACATATTATATTTTGTTTTTATATATTTGTATTATATTCTACATGTTTATTGTATTAATTTCTTTGTTCACTTACTCATGTCTCAGTAAAGTGCTTACATGCACTCCCCTCTCATGCCACAGTGCTCTGTATTGATCGTGCCGTGACGGCTTTGTAGCCATCGTTTTGTTGTTCATCATCTGTAGGCAACTTTTCCTTTGTCATCTGGAAGCACATTGCCTCATGTACTTTCGGCCTATCTCCGCCGCGAGTTGGTTTTGTTAAATTTACTCGGATTCAACCCTGTTAAGTGCAAGCTGCACTCTTCAATGTAATTCCACAAATTTGTAATACATTCCTAATTCTGGTTTCAAACTGTATTCTTTCTGGCATCATGCACCTTACCTATAATTGTATACCTTTTTGCTTGTAAGGTGCAAACAGCACTATCTATCATTCTGTAACCACTGTAAGCAATTGTAAAGTGCATCAAGCACTGGTCCATAGTGACCACCATTCTGTACTCCCTTTTATTTTTATCTCTGTTATTAAACGCGATGCATAACGCCTATGGGTTTCCCATTCTAATCTTCCTTCCTTCCCACTTTCCTCAAACTTTTATCCCCACCCACTACACCCTTCCTTCCTTCCTTTCCAAATCAGGCTAAGTCTAAAGACAGCCTTCTGATCTTTAATTCAGTTTCAGTTACTTAGAAGTAACTTTCATTTTTGACTCTTTCACTTTTTGTATCATTGACAAATATGCTGATTTTGTGAAAATTTGATTATTCTCAGCTTTTTATGCTATTAATGCGTTTAATCGGTTGTTGAAATGATTATTCATATCACTTAATGATTCCTTCATGATCATTACTTTTGTCAAAGAAGAAAGATTAACTACTGGTCACATAAATTTAAAATTTGATACTAAATGTAATAAGCATGCGCAAGTAAGATGTAAGTTCTGATTGGCTAACGTATGTCAAATGATCACTCCTCAATGTATTATTATCACTTTGCCTGACTAGGTGGTAGCAGTATTCATAATGACCAGTCAATTTGATAAATTATTGAAATGTATTACAATGCCCGATTTTGTTGGTCATTATCCATAATGCCCGTATTAATCACTTTGTCCATAATATATATAAATATACATGAAAAAATATATATATACAGTATATACACAACTAAGTAGTGAAGCACTACACACTTCACAACTTTTTACACCTGCAGTTTGTTATTTTCTGCTGATGTTTTTGAATGTACCTATCTTTAGACATCTTTACATTGAATATTACCACTTAACTTCCAAAAGAAACACAAATGCAAAACATTTAAACATGTCCAAGTGGCAAATAACAAAATTATACCTTTAGACATTATATTTAAACTTTTGGATTAAGTTTATTTTAGAATTTGTGATTACATTGAATGATGGGCATTAAACAATACTAGAAGTATTAGTGAAAAATTTGTTATTACAATTGCAGTTGTAAAAGATGTAAAGTGTTTTTAACTTTTATATTTAACTAAATATGTACTTACCATATTTTGGTGGAATCTCTAAAATAAATATTAAATCTGTTACAGGTGTATCTCTGTCATAAACAAGTAATGTTGAATTATCAATTATTGCTATTTGGCCAGGTTCAACAAATAACTGCTGTTTCACAATGATTGGAGGTTCATCATTAATTAAATGAATTGTAATATTAAGATGAGAAATTGACGATGATTGTCTTCCATCAGTGACATGAAATGAAAAATTATCAGCAACTGGTTCAATATTTAAGTGATCATTCTGAATATATTGAATATATAAATCATATAAGTCTTGTAAAATAAATGATGATATAGGAAGGCCTATAAAAGACTTTTCTGAGTCTGAAACTAAAAATAAATTATTTTAATTTATATAAAATTATTTTATTAAAAACTGTAAAGTATAAATAAATTTGTAATAATAAATAAAAATATTCATTAATATAATATATTTTGTTTATTTTTTTATATACAAGGTCTGTTCAAAAAGTATCGGACCTTTGGTCGGTAAAAATAAATTTATTGACTTTGAGGTACAAAACCCTAATCCCCTTCAAAGTAGTCTCCTTGGTAATGTATACACTTCTCCCAGCGTTCCTGCCATTGCTGGAAACACTGCTGGAACTCATCTTTTGAATGGCCATCAGTCGCTCCGTCGGATTTTGCACGATGTCTTCTCTCGACTAAACTTGGGTTCCTTTTAGCGGCATTTTCAGCTTGGGAAATAGCCAAAAGTCACACGGAGCCATGTGGGGAGAGTACGGAGTGTGACGAACCACAGGAGTGTTATGTTTGGCAACGAAAGCCCGAATCAGATGCACAGAATGGGCAGATGCATTATCACGATGGAGCTGCCAAGTTTTGATCGACCACAGATCCAATCGTTTGCGTCGCACAGCATCGGAAAGACGACGAAGGACCTCCTGGTAGTACTCCTTTGCGATGGTTTGGCCTTGTGGTGCATACTCATGACACACCACCCCACGAGAGTTGAAAAACTGTCAACATGACCTTTGATATTGCTACGGACCTGCCACGCTTTTTTTGGCCTCAAGGATCGTCCCCGAAAGCCTGCTGAATCTTGCGAATGGTTTACGCTTGGGTATCACAAAGGTTTTTGGCAAAATTTGATGTAATATCACTGCTCACGTTGTTCAGTCATTTTCCTGCTTAGTGGAATCCGACGAGAGTGCACTACATGACCTCACTCAAAGGCCGATTGCCAACGACTGACGCTTCCTGCAGGCGGGAAAAAATTCAGGGCTGTGCATGACTGTCCCCTCCACAACTCCACCGAAAGAGGCCTCCCACGCATCATTGGTTTACGCAGAAAAAAAAGGTCCGATACTTTTTGAACAGACCTTATATACCAAGATCTACTTTGTGTTGACATTAATTTTGAAAACACAATCTACAGTAAGATGAATAATACAAATCAAAATTGCCTTCCATAAAAACTATTAACATAGCAAAGATAGTTGAATTCTCCTTGTTCTCTTTTTTTTTTTAGCTTGTTGTGCATAAAATTGCTGTAGAGAATTTATCATACAGACAGAGCTGTGGAGTTGGAGTTGGGAGGAGTTTCTGGCCAGAGGAGTTGGAGTTGGAAAAAATGTGTCCGACTCCTGCATTTTAAATTTACTTTAGCTGTTTTATTTATATAATAAATGATAATTTATTATATATTTATTAATTTTTTAAAATCTTTTTTTTTGTATTTTGTTATAATTCATTTACTTTGTCAGAAAATGAAGCAAATAAACGAATCTAACGGCGCACAGTTCCATGTAAGACGAATAAAAACTAAAGAGGGTGTGCTACACAGACACTGTGCCACACAGAGACTTGCCAACATAGTGCCGTCTAATACAAAATATGTCTTACAAGTTAGTGACTTAGCACACAGGGATTACATTTTTACTTTCTTTCACACTCCCTCTATTGCTGTGTGCTACATACATAACAATGATCAATTATTTCAATTTAATTTTAACATTTTCATGAATCTATCAAACTTAGTTCCTGTTAGCGGTTTCATTAGGACATCTGCAATCATATCTGCAATCATTAGGTCCATCCTCAAGTAGTAAATTACAATTTCCCCTTTTCTGACTAATTCTTAGTGATGTGATAGCTTACGCTGATATGTTTACTACGCTTGTGAAAAACCGCATTCTTCGATAACTGTATTCTGCTTTGGTTATCACAGTAAACACAAGTGGAATTTTTTTACACATCTTTTAAAACCCATATGTACTAACAGTCTTTTTATGTAAGTTATTTCTCGTGAAGATTTAGCTAGAGCTATATACTCTGCTTCCATGGTTGACATTGCAACAGATATCTGTTTCTTTGACTTCCAACTAATTGGACTGCCTGCTAACATCAAAATGTTACCTGTACACGACTTTCTGTCATCTACGTCTCCAGCCCAATCCGAATCCTTGTAGGCTTTAAATTCTTCATTGTTCTTGACATGTTATTCTATACTTAGAAGTACCTTTGGGATATCTCAAAACACGCTTTGCTATCATCCAATGTGTTTTATCGGGATCAGCACAAAAACGACTTAATGTGCTTGCAGCAACAGCGATGTCTGGACGTGTCACGTTTGCCAGGTAGATCAGACTTCCGATGAGATCTCTATAAGGCCAAGTTTTCATGTCTTGTCTCTCATTTTCTGAGATTGGATCCATTTCCTTCAAAATTTTCATATTTGACTCTATCAATGTAGCGACAGTTTTCACATCCACTAAGTTGAATCTCTTCATCAGTTCATGAATATGTTTTGTTTGTGTCAGATGGATGCTACCTGTTGGTCCTTCTCTCTTTATTTCAATGCCTAAAATGTTACTTATAAAGCCTAGGTCTACTATTTTGAATGTTGACTTTAGTTTCTATTTAATGGTCTCAAGGTTTTCAATCTTCTTCGCTGCCAATATTAAATTGTCTACATAAACAATGAGTATCACTCGATCTTCTTCCTTCCTGAATATATAAATGCATGGATCAGCTGCTGTGCACCCGCCTCCAATACTTGTGATAAAGCCATCTAACTTCTTGTACCATTCTCTTCCAGACTTTTAATCCGCATAAAGGTTTCATTAGTTTGCAAACTTTATCTTCTCGTTCACAAAATAAACATCTTGGGTTGCTCCATGTATATTTCATCGTATAAATCACCCTGCACGTAAGTGGAAGTTACATCCATTTGATGTACGTGCATTTCTTCATTTATGGAGGCAGCTAATAATGTTCTTATTATTTCGTATCTAGTGACTAGAGCAAAAACTTCATCATAGTCTATACCTCTTTCTTGGGTATGACCTTGAGCTACAAGTCGCACCTTATACTTTTCTATGGTTGGTTTTTATTTTAAACACTCAACAATTTGTTAACACTTTCTTGTTGTTTGGCCTCAGTACTAAGATCCATGTGTTGTTCTCACATACGCTCTTATATTCCTTTTTTCATGGTGGTTAGTCATGCCTCTTTAGCGTCTCAATTTAACACTTCAGATACATGCTTGAGGTCTGAAAATTTGTCTGTAACAACTTGATAAATTTTTCTCGGTCTTCCGTGTTTTCCCGTTCTTTGAATTTTTGGATGACCTCATTTTTGTTGGCTCATGCAACTCTCCTCTTGAATTTCTCATCGTTCTTCTTCTAGATATTCGTCCATATTAAATTCATTATCAGACTCTTCATCTAGTTTTGTATCATCCTCATTGTTCATCTCTGTCGTCTGATTTAGCGGCATTATACACATGTCGTTTGGTGTTTCATCAGCAAAATCTGGCTCAGCGGAGATACTCTTCAGAAAAGTGTTACTTGTGTGGACTGTTTCAACAAATCTCACGTCACATGCTATGATGACAGTCTTAGTGCCTGGTTTCCAAAGTCGATACTCTTTTGACTCATTTGAGTATTCGACCAACATATACTCATCACCGTTTGGATAAAATTTTACTTGTTTTCGAGTCTTGTCCAGCACTATGGCTTTACTTCTGATAATTTTAAAGAAACCAACATAAGGTTTATGCTTAAACCATAGCTCATTCGATGTTTTTCCATTGAGGGCTTTTGTCGCACTTCTATTTTGTAGAAATGTGGCAGTATTGATTGCTTCTGCCCACAGTGACTGAGGTAGACCTGCTTACAACATTATACACCTTGCCATTTTGACAAGTGTCTGATTTACATATTCTGCTACACCATTTTGTTGTAGGGTGTATTCGGCACTCAGTTGTCATACAATTCCTTCTTCTTCAAGAAAGTTGTTAAATTTGTTTGATAAATATTCTCTACTGTTATCCATACGTAGCTTTTTGATTCGATGACCTGTTTGTTTTTCGACTCTTTGTTATAAGATTTAAACACTTGGAAAATATCTGAGCGACTTTTAGCATTATAGTTTCCATATAGCGTGTACAGTCATCAATAAATGTTGCAAAGTATTTTGCACCTCCTAATGAGACGGTTTTCATTGGGCCACATATATCAAAATGCACTAAACCCAAAATCTCTTTCTCTCGATGATGCGATTTATTTCTTAAATGGTTGAACATGTATTTTAGTTCTAAGGCATATTTCACAGTTTAATTCTCTTGCTTTCATTGAAAGGTCCATACCTTCGACTAATTGTTCCATTTTCATTTTTCATAGATCATTAATGTTTATGTGCCCATATCTTTAATGTCACTTTAATAGGTTTTCGTCAGTAGTTTCTGCCGAAAACATTGTTCTCCAATTCCAATTCATTGACAACATATAGGTTATCACGTTTTGTAGCTGTTAGCATCGTAGTACCATCTTTACATTTGATGATTGCATATTTCTCCTTAAATACAACAACGTATCCTTTGTCAGTGACACTTGCTACCAATAAAAGGTTTTGGTGCAATTCCAGTCCATATAATATGTTTTATAATTTTACGGAACTTATTGCTCATTGATTTACTTTCAAGCTGAGATTCACATCACCTATACCAACTGCTTGCACATAATTCTCTGTGGCAGTATATACTTTAGATTGTTCAATTTGATCTAGAGTTAAGAATTTGTATTGGTCATTACACACGTCTTGTCGCACCACTATCTAAATACCACTTTTTCAATTCATTTGTGAATTCCACGTTGCATGCAATTGTAGTAAGAGCACTGCTAGTAACTTTCACGTCTGTGCATTTTGTTTTCAATTTATAACTTCTACTGATGTGTCCAGTTTTACCGCAGCAGTAGCATCTTCCATTGAATCTTTGGCCTCTGAATCTTGTATTATTTTCCCTTGAGTTCATTCGTGACTACTTTACATGGTCGGACTTTCCCTTTGAAAGTAATGCGTCACTT